AGGAAGTAGGTCGAAGTATCAGGAATTAGTGAGAGGAGGGAAATGGCATAATTATAGGGTTACATATCTCATATTTGCCGTATGATCACCGCAGCTGTTCTTGGCCTACGGTGTCTTGATAATATCGCTCACACCGAACTGAATCGCCGTACTTCACGGAAAATATGCTGCAACTTGCTGGCGTCCATCATACAGGCTAGCACATGCACACACATAGACAACCTTTTGCTAATATGCGTTTTTATTGCGTTTGTATAAATATGCAAAATGCATTATAACTACTGTTGCTTATTTTATCACTTTGTTTTTGTGTTCTTTCTGCTTCGCTTGGCCATCTTTTCTATTCCTCTTCATCAAGCTTTTGCTGTTGCAGGTTTACTATAATGCGATCAAAATATGTCTATTACTCAGTGTTTATAAAACTATTATGATGACATATGCAGAAATATTATGAATATAATAAAGATGACTTAAATGAACAGGAATGTTTTGTTGATATTATTGCAGGCCAGAATGCAGCTATCGAGCAATGTGGGATTTGGAGGATCCAAAAAATATTGGCCGAGAATCGCTGTGCGATGTAATAGCGGATGCGCTTCAGAGACAGCGATTCGAAGCTCTTGCGCCATTGACAGTTGTTTTTGGCGGTGGCGAATATGCAGTTTTTCAGCTTTAAAAATAATGCTAAAAATGATAAGATGGTATCATATGCCCACAGTGCCCCTCTGCTCAGTTTGTTCCTGAAATTTTTTGTTATTGTTGCGCTTTGTACATACCATTTCCATGATTATCCGGTGCCTCGATGTTGAAGTTTGTGAGGTTATTGAGGTACAGCAGCTGTTAGTCTCTCCTGCCCTTTATTATTTATTTTCAGTTTAAACTCGCCGTTCCTTTTTCACACTATCTAATAAGTCTGCAATTTCGAAAAAGTCATGAAATTCTAAAGTTCCTATACATTATCACTTGCACATTCGCTTTTGTACTTGCATTGTTCTCCTCCCCTGCATTTGGACACCATCGTATTTACTTTTTTCAAGTGCTTCTTTTTGCATTTTATTCGATTGTGAATCTCTGTTTGACACTTCAAATTAACATGTTACGCCCCCAGCACTATGGTCTAAGGCTCTGCCTACTTATTTGGTTTAGTTTAGCGTATCTGCGACATATACACGAAACTTGAGCAATTTATCGAATTTCAATTTTAATTTTGAATGAAAGATTAAGAACTGCATGAAGTTGGAGGGAAGGGGAAGTAAGACGAAGTAGTTGTGGAGTTAAGGACAAGTGACAAGAGACCGGTTGACGTGCACGAGTACATGTTCTGGAGAAACATTCTGTGTTTCATCCCTTAGTTGTAGTGAACACCTCCAGCAACTCAAAACCTACCGCTTTTTTTTCTGCAATGCTTTAGTTGCGGTGAATTCGTATATATCAACTTTTATTGAGTGCATTTGCTAATGAAAGCTTTCCAAAATTTCATGTTGATGGAACTGCGCTTATTTTTCTGTGAAACATACTTGCTGACAGCTCATTACCTAATCACCCTTTCTCCTTTTGCTAGGTTTTCTTTTCTGTCCATGACACGGATTTCATTAGTTTTGTAAGCCCACTGTTTTTTGTCACTTTTTTTATTTCTATTCGTTACCGCATTTAAATATTTTTTTGTGTTTTCAAAGATGTAAATAAGAGAAATATATCAATGTTATTAGGAGTACTCGGTCATTTGGTAAAGGATCTCATGTTAATGACGTTGATGAAACACTCCCTATTGTAATTATGGTCGAGGATGCCGTGTCCTCATAGGACTAGGCAAAGTAGACGTTGTATTAGACGACCAAGTAGAATAACGCGAAGCAAGAATTAGAAATGTATCAAAGGGAGCGCCTGGGATCCTGTGAGCCCTCTGTGGCGCCCCAAGTGGGCGCGGCTGCAGTATTATCGGTTGCGGCATGATCAACTTGTCACAGTACACTAACGATATAACACATTCGTGGTGGGAGTAAAGCACTCCTACTTGTCGAACTCAGATATGACAGGCCTTTCGATTTTGAGTTAGGCAGCAAATTTAGTACCACCGCGTTTCCACTGAATGTGCGCCACCTTGTATATGTCTTTCATCTTTGCATTTTTGTGCGTTTTTTGCAGCTGTGCAGTGCAAAAACGCATATTGTCGAGGGGTTGTCTGTGTGTGTGTGTGTGTGTGTGTGTGTGTGT